AGGGGGAGGGGGGCCCTTTCTGCTGTCCCAACCACAATATAAATCCACCCATCCTCTAATTCCAGTGGCTTGCATCAAGAACCCCCTGGCTGCCGCCTTTGGAGCTGCTCTTACCTTGGTAACGTGGGTAGTGGTGGAACTGGAGAGGGTTTCCGCAGTGGCAGTGAATATGCTGGTGAGCACCTCCTTCCCAGCGGAGCTGCTGGTGATCTGCAGGACAGAGAGCAGCAGCATCAGCGAGGCTGCCACAGGGGAGGCCCCCGGGCCGGTCCCGAAGAGCTGGGAAATTTCCACCAGGATGCACCTACTCAGCCAAGCACAGGAGGGGAGAGAGTGGCAAGGGAAAAAAAGACACTGCACTGTGCTTCCAATTGAACCTATTTTTCTTGGGGGGGGCAGGGAGAGGTTTCCACAGCTACCCCAAGCCCAGAGCTGCAGGAAAGGGCCTCTGCAGTGGGCACATGATTTCATGGCTGCGTTTTGCTCTTCCCCATCCATCCTCAGGGCCACCCTAAGTGCAGAGCTCTCAGGCTACCTCTAGCTTTGTCCGTCCCGCTTTGTGTGGCGAGGGCTGGGAAGGCTGTGCTGGTGCCCCAGCCACACAGTGCTGGGTACGTTCTCCCTGCTGCACAAAGTGACGAGCCTGGGACAGCATGTGGCATTTGGCCGGGCTTGACTCCATCAAAACAAGGCAATCGAGTAGTAAAACAATTCATACAGGAAGGCCTGCTGCTGGGCAGGGTTGTTCATGGCCATCACCTCCACTGGGAATCAGGAGACTTTGCGTGTGACCTTGGGTGGCCAGGCAGGATACCCAGGGCTAAAGATATCTCAGCCTGCTATGAGACTTCACCAGGGACTGGGCTATTTTTTTAGGAATTATCCTCCTCCAGCCAATGCTCAAGGTGCGTTTCTGGCACAGGAGAAAGGCCATGGGCAGGGTGTCCCCTGCCATCTTGCTCCCCAACCTTCTGAGCATCCTTCTGCTCTTCCCAGTACCAACACACCAGCCACGGGTGGGTGCTGGGAACATGGGAGGGGGCCCTGTGGGACCAACCCCAGCCCGCCCCACCCCCCGCAGGGCT